GCTCATCACCACTTTGTGTCTTGATTTGGTTAGCCATTCATATGGAACTATTTGCACGATGTTATGTTTGATTCCTTCGGGGTGCTAGGGATTCAACTGATTCTGGACAATGTGTATGTGGCTCTGGTGCTGCAGGCAGACCACTTGTTAGACCAGGCTCAGGCTTGGAGTTGAGTTTGTGTTGCTCATGACTTTCTATCCTTCCACTGCTCCTAGACGAACGAGTACATTCAAACAGCATCTGCTGGCTCCTGCCTCTGCACTGACGTTCGGTCCCTCGGTCACAGGCTCTGTGTGCCCCTCTGGCCTGGATTCCCTCCTCCATCCTGCCTCCTGGGGATTTCCTTTCAGCCATGTGCTGGTTTGGGTTGCGAACTTTTTTCTAGCATTTCCGTATCTGTGGTTGCAGAAGGGGATTTGTCCTCACTTCGTCCTTGATGGAACTGGAAATCCCCTTGGCCTTCCCTAAGTGTCAGTTTTCCCATCTGTCCAGTGGAGATGATTCCTGCTCCTCGGACTCCCGGGGGAATTACAGCAGCCCCAGGAATGGCTCAGGACGAGGACATCCTAACAGTAAGGAGGTGCAGATGCTGTTGGCTCCATGACCGGGGATACACCCTGAGTTGTGGGATCCCCAGGACCATGCTCCCACTGACAGCCAGTGTGTGATTTTGGGGACACGAGGTCACATTGGCATGAGGGTCATTGCCCTTTTTTTAAAAAATCTATTTTTGTTTATTTAAAGGCAGAATAACAGAAATCTTCCATCCACTGGTTCAATCCCCAGATACCTGCAATAGCCATGGCTCCCATGTGGTGGCAGGAACCCAAGTACTTGAGCCATCACGAGGTGCATTAGCAGGGAGCTGCTTTGGAAGTGGAGCAGGCAGGACTTGAGCTGGCAGTCTGATCTGGGTCACCAATATCCTAAGAGGCAGCTTAACCTGCTGTACCACAATGTGGGCACTCCTACTTCCTGACTATAATAAGGGGCCCAGACTTGTTTTTAGCTGTGTAGCATGATGAATTTTTTTTTTAGTGTGATGAATTTTTACATGTATTTATACTTACGTGGCCACTACCTAGATCTGGTCCTGGACTCCTGTGCCACAGGGAATGACCAGGTTTGCGCCTACTGTGCTGGACACAGACCACCAATTGTGAACAGCATGCATGTGGTAGCCCATGGCATATTCTGACCATGCTGTCCCCTGCACCCTGTTTGTTAACATCTGTGCCATTGCACCATCTCCGGAAACAATAGTCTGCTGACATTCAGTAGTCCAGAGCCTCATTACTTTAAACTGGTTCCCTGAGAGGATGTCAGTTTGTCCCCTACTGAGCCTCTTCAGGAACTGTGGGAGGTGGTTCTGGTTACAGAAGCAAGGGCTCCAACCTTGCCTGCTTCCCAGGCCAGCAGGGTCAGAGGGGAGCAGGGCATCTGGGGACATGGCCGGGGCTATGAGAACAGCAGCTGCAGGGCAGGCTGACAGTCAGTCCAACCCCAGGATCTGCCAGGCCATAGGTGACAGCAGTGGGTGGTCAGGTCGGGCAGAAGCCCATCCCTGACCTGGGAGGCACTACGAGGCTGTGGAGACCATGTGACCAAGGGTGTTATGATGTGATGCGTAGGTTGAGGTGGGCAAGAACAGGCAGAACCTCTGATCCAAACCATTGGCCTGGACACTGGCCTGGCCTTTGTGTGCTGCGGTCCCTTGAATTTTCTAGGGCAGACACAGGGACAGGAAGAACTTGCCTGAGGGCAGCTGTCTGGATAGAAAGGGTAGAGGTGTCCAGACTCCCAGCTGGGGTCTCTGCCTACAAGGTCTGGCACCTGCAGAGATGGAGTTGGAGTTCAGGCTGTCGTGAGGGTGGTGGTGAGATGCGGAAGTAGGCGGGGAGTGAGTTGGAGGTAGGTGTGCTGGGATCTTTGGGAGCTTTACCTGCTCACCTGTCAATCACACCCACCTTCCCAGGAAGGAGGAGACGCTGTGCTGGCCACAGGAAGTTAAACGCCACATGGAGGCACCATAAAAATCCCAGAAAGCTTCACTTGATTATTCAATGAAGGCACCACACCTACCTCATGAAACAGATGGGTAACAAGGAGATGCCCTCTCTTGCCCTTGCCTGGGGACCCATCCTGGGCTTCCTCACCTCACAGGGATGCCCTGGCCCACTCATGATTGGTATTTCTGTGTGGGTGGCCCACCCTCACCATGAACATTGGTTCCCTCTGTGTTAAATCAGTCTATCTGTCAAGTGTGCACTACCTGGATGCCTCAGCTTTGCATTCTTATATTTTAGAAATGAAGATTAGGAGTCCAAGGCCCATGATGTGACCAAAGGGGACAGGGTAGCCCAAGGGGAAGCTTCTTCTGTTTTTATTTTATTGGAAAGGCAGATATACAGAGAGGAGAGAGAGAGAGGAAGATCTTCCATCTGATGGTTCACTTCCCAAGCAGTCACAACGGCTGGAGTTGCACCGATCTGAAGCCAGGAGCCAGGAGCTCTTCCGGGTCTCCCACATGGGTGCAGGGTCCCAAAGCCTTTGGTGGTCTTACACTGCTTTCCCAGGGCACAAGCAGGGAGCTGGATGGGAAGTGGGGCTGCTGGGATTAGAACCGGCACCCACATGGGATCCCGATGCGTTCAAGGACTTTAACTGCTACACTCTCGTGCCGGGCCCAAGGGGAGGCTTCTTGAGGCAGGGCCCTGGGTGTGCCTGAGCCCAAGGCTACCTCATTTCCTAGTGTGATTTCCTAGCTTGCTTGGAGCATGCACGGGGCTGGCGCCACATGAGACATGTCACAGCAGAGACTAGGAGACTAGGAGCTGTTCCCTGCGCTGCCACAGAAGCAAGCATGGGCCTAAGGGGAGCCAGAGGGGAGGCTTCTGCCTCCCCCCCAACTCACACACAGCCATGCAACATGGCCTTGGACAAGACCCTTCAAGTTCTCACAGGGGGCAGTACTATGGGAAGAGGGGATCCCACCTCCAACTTCTGGCTTCCTCTGGACAGGTTCCATGGGGTCTGAGTACAAGAAGACAAGCACTTAGTTCCCTGACTCCCACCTAGGACACCCGACCTCTGCTCTGGACAAGGTGTCCCAGGAGATGGGAGCTGCCTCCCAGCCTTTCCTGCGGGCCAGAGACACCATTTGCCTAGTCCAGTCCTTGGGACGATCTTTGGGGGATTCTGCCAATAATCCCTTTTGCCAGGAAAGGTCCCTGGGTCTTAGGGAAGTGACAGCTACTTGACAGGGAGTTGGCTGCAGCTTGGGGTTTCCCTTTAAATGTTTTTTAAGTTGTTGATTTATTTGAAAGAGAGAGGGTCTTCTATCAACTGGTTCCTCCCCCAGGTCTCCCACATGGGTGGCAAGAACACAGTTGCTTGATTCATCACTGCCTTTCCAGGGTCTGCATTAGCTGGAGGCTGGCATCCAAAGCCAGAGGCAGGACTCAAATCCGGGCACTTGGATGGGAGACCTGTTCGCTGAACACATGCACATGAGTCAGAGGGAGAACAGGATGAGGACTTTGTAGTTCTCACTTCATCTCAGACTGGGTGATGACGCATAGCAGGTGATGGATCAGAGACACAGGTGTTCCTCTTGGCTACCTCCTGCAGCCAGCTGTGAGACTGCAGAGTTCTTTAATACCCAGTACACTCAACTGAAGGCAGTCCTGCTTTCTGGCACTGCCGTTAGTGCTGTCACCACATCAGGTTCCTGCCAAGCCTGCTCTGTCAAGTGAGCCCAGCAGAGTGGGAAGCTGATGGCTGGAGACATCTGGAGCCGCCTGCAGCTGGAAGGCTTCATGCTGGGGAGGAGGTTAAACAGTGCCCTCCCTACTGCTCTGCACCTGTTCAGTTGCTGTTGTGGCAAAACGCCCCTGGAGGTGTGCAGGAAAAGCATGGGCTTTGGGGGGGAGCCCGGCTTTGCCTGTGCCTGCCAGTGCTGTGTGTCCTTGGGTGAGGCCCTAGGTGTCACTGAGCCTCATGAACCTTGGAGAGAAGACTCCAGGCCCACAGGATCGTCTGAGGGCTTGGGCAGGCACGTGTTTGCAAATTGCTAGGTGTGTTGTCTGAGGTGCGCCACTGCGGTTATCTCCCAGCTCAGACCTCCCAGGCCTCAGCAGGGAGGGGCGGGGGATCTGCAAGTCTGGGGGTGAAATCATTTTGCCCCCCTCTCTACACAGAGAAAGAGAAGGACCCCAAGTACTGGAGGGACCAAGCCCAGCAGACCCTGAAAAACGCCCTGGGGCTTCAGAAGCTCAACACCAAGGTGGCGAAGAACATCATCATGTTCCTGGGGGATGGTGAGGCCTGGGGAGGGAAGGGAGGCAGGCTCGGGGAGGGGCTGTGCTGAAGAGGCTGAGCTGAGGGGGTGTAAGAAGTGGGGAGGTCGTGAGGCTGCAGACCCGTGAGGTCTGGGTCCAGGGAAGGAAGGGAGTAAGGGGTGCCCACTGCCCCAGCCTAGCTCGGCACCAAATTGGGGAGCTCTGGGCACTCAAGAAACTGAAATCCTCCCTCCTCTGCCCCCGACAGGGATGGGGGTGTCCACCGTGACAGCGGCCCGCATCCTCAAGGGTCAACTCCATCACCACACCGGGGAGGAGACCAGGCTGGAGATGGACAAGTTCCCCTTCGTTGCCCTCTCCAAGGTGAGCCCCTCAAGCCCACCCAGCCTGAGCCTCCTATCTCTCAAACTGGCCCACGGGGTTGGGTCGGGGAGGGAAGGGCAGGAGGTGGCAGAAGCAGACTGCCTGGGTCCCCAGTCAACTGTGAAAGGAGCAGCAGAGATCAGAGATCTTTACAGTGACATGGAATGCAGAGAAGAGGTGTGCAAGCTGTCGCGGTCACTTCCCCAAACCGCCGGTGTCTGCCCATCTAACCAAGGGTCAAACAAGAACACAGCACTGGCCAGACCCCCCCCCCCGGCCCAGTGCTCAGCACCTCCCCATGCTGACCCTTGACCCACCCCCTGCAGATTGGCTGCACCTGCAGGGTGGTCTGGCCATGCAATTCAGGTTCTCTCCTGACATGGTGTGTGTTCTCTAGGTTACTGATTCCATCTGCTGGGTGTGGTTGTTGTTGGGGCTCCACAACATCCTGCAGGGTTTCCTGTGCCTTGGAGGAGCTCTCCAGCTGGTGGGGAAGGAGACAGGTTGATGGAGTCAACCTGTTGATGGAGGCTCAGGCCGGGGCTGGGACACAGAGCACTCAAGCCCCGTGCCTTTCTCCAGGACTTACCTGCCGGTCCTCTTGGTGCTGGCTGCTGCAACCGCAGCACCCAAGAGCGGCCTCGTTGACCTGCCCTGACCTCCACCAAACACTTCTCCACGTGTTGGAGGGGCAGACCCCACCCTTCCTGCCGCTGAGCCACAGCCTGGGGAGTTGGGCGAGGAAGCAGCAGCCAGGCAGCAGGGCTCAGCTAGGCCCGTGGGGACCGCTCCGTGTGCCTCCTGCACCCATCCCTTTGCTGGGGGTGGGGGATGTTTGCTTCCTGACTCTAGCTTCCCCCCTGCAGACATACAACACCAATGCACAAGTCCCCGACAGCGCGGGCACTGCCACCGCTTACCTGTGTGGGGTGAAGGCCAATGAGGGCACTGTGGGGGTGAGTGCGGCCACCCAGCGTTCCCAGTGTAACACCACACAGGGCAATGAGGTCACCTCTATCCTGCGATGGGCCAAGGACGCTGGTAAGCTGGGGCGTGACGGGTGTGGGTGGGCTGGTCTAACCTCAGTTTTTGCACCCGCGTAGCAAGGAGAGGCCAGTAAAGGAAGCCTTGCGACCTCCCAGCTCCAGTGCTCTGAGCATCTGAGCAGCAGTCCTGGAATCCCCTCCCGGGTGGAGGCCCCTGGGCTGACCTTAGGTCAGTGCCCTAAGTTTCCCATCAACCATAGAGTGGCCATGTGAATGAAGCCCCTCCTAGGTTTGGTGTGAGGAGTGTAGAGGGCCCCACCAGGGCTGGCTCTTCAGGGTCAGTGCATGCCTGCTTCCTCCCCTCCCTTCTGGAAACTGGGAGGTGCCAGCACAGGGTGCAAGAGACTCTCCCACCCTCTACCCCATGAGTCTTTAGGGTGTCCTCCCCAGGAGTTATCCCAGGTGACAGGGAAGACTCTGGCCCAGTGCTCACAGCTCCAGGCTGAAAAGCCACATCCTGCAGGGTGGAGGGAGGGGCTCCTAGCCCCAAGACTATTTGGCAGCTGCCAGCCACCTTGTGTGCTGGTGGAAAGACTGAGACCCAGTGGTCAGTGGCACATACTGGTAGTTAGCTGGGGTAGGGGAGAAAGCATCTGGGGCACCCATCGCACAGTGAGCCAACCCCTGCCTCCTACACCCCAGGGAAGTCTGTGGGCATCGTGACCACCACGCGAGTGAACCATGCCACCCCCAGTGCTGCTTATGCCCACTCGGCTGATCGGGACTGGTACTCGGACAACGAGATGCCCCCAGAGGCCCTGAGCCAGGGCTGTAAGGACATCGCCTACCAGCTCATGCACAACATCAGGGACATTGACGTGAGTGTGTCGTGTGGCCAGGGCGGGCACGGGCTTGTGAGGTGGGGCCCGTAGCGGGCAGGAGACCTCAGGCCTAGGCTGGTCTGGGAGCGGCGGCCTTGGCCTGGCTCCCCACACACCTGGGAGGGCTCCCAGTCCATTAGGGGATTTGTGGTTGGGGCAGGCAGGCCCTAGAGGATTGCTCTGCGGTGTGGCTGTAGAGTGACCCCTCACGTGCCCACCGCAGCCCCGGAACCAGGCGCCTGGGGATTATTTCATAAATTGGTCCCTGGCACCATGCCCCCAATACACACACACACACACACACACACACACACACACACACACACACACACACACGATGCAGCATGGGGGCTGTCTGAGGGAGAGCCTGCCCTGCAAGCACAGGCGTGTGACTGTACACTCAACAGCACGTCTTAGGAGAGCTGGCAGACATGGTGGCTAGTGCAGGCTGGCTCCAGTTCAGGACAAGTGGACCTGCTGAGCCCTCAGAGAGCAGACATCTGGCCTGCGGCCTGTCTCCCCTGACACCCCAGGCCTTGGTTTCCCCAGTGGCCTCAACCTGGGCTGTGATTACCAATAGTGCTTGGAGAACTTGCCAGCCTGAGATGGGGTCAGGCGCATGAGGAGGAGCTGCACAGAGGGGAGACACTTTGGGTTATGGTGGGGGGGGTGGTGCTCCACAGGGGCATGGGGTGTGTGAGCCCTGTCCTCTCCTCTAACTTGTCTCCCTACCTCCATCTGCCCTCTCACCCCACTGCCCCACAAGCTGCCAATCCCCCCTCCCCGACTATACATGACGCAGAAATACTGGTGTCTTCCCTGAAAATAAATATCTTTTGCTTATAAAAGGAGGAAAGAAAGAAGACACAAACCCAAATCCTGAGGCCCGACAGCAAGTCTATTATTTGGGAGTTTAATGAGCCCGGGTGTGGGCCCTCCTGGGGACGGAAACCAGGAGACTCCAGGCGAGAAGATTGGGGCCTTTGGTTTTCACTGGAAAATGCCACGGGGTCAGCTTCTGTGGGAACACTAAGGGGACACGGGTCCCGCGACCTGGGGTCCTTCATTCCTCATGGCCTGCCCCGCCTCCAGAGCGCCAGGCTGCAGCTGGCAGTTGGGCTTGGCAGCAGGAACCCTCCCCCTGGAAGCCTATGCAGCAGTGCTGGACTCTGGACGCTGGACTCTACAGTGACTCCTGTGATGGGACTGCGTGTGTGTGGCAGGGGCAGGCTCCCCTTTCACAAGTTAGGAAAATGAGGGCCACAGGGTTAAATGACACACCCTTGGTCAATGAGCACCAGAATCAGGTGCCCCTACGCCACCGGCCTGGCCAGCTGGCTGGGGTCTGAGAGCGGAAGGCAGAGAAGGGGTCTGTGAGCTGCCAGACCTAGGAATGTGAGACCTGGGCCAGCCTCAGCTTTCCCAAGGTGTTGGCCAGGGGAAGCAGCCTGGGCTGGCGCCCGCGGTGACAAGAGGACACCAGCGTGGTGGACACCACGGGCGGTGGCTGTTATGCTCTTGGCCCCCATTTTAAAAATAGTCAGGACTTCAAACATGGACTCCCAAGGAAAACAAACAGGCCCGCGTCCGTCTGCCGCACACAGCAGCCGTGCTGGGTAAAATTAGCCCAGTGGTGACTACACAGTCACTGGGCCGGCCACGCTGTTTGCCCGGGCTGCGGCCAGCTGCCTCCCAGCTGTGCTGCCCCAGAGACCTCCCGGCCAGAGCCTCGCCCAGGGCATCCTGCCTGTCCGCGTGGGAGCTCAGGTCCCTGGAGTCCCTGTCCTCGTTCCTCCTCCGAGTTCAAGAGGCCCCGGGCTCAGGTCCCAATTCTGCCGCTTATTGGCAGTTGCACCTTTTTATCTGGGAACCCAAGAAGCAAGGATTGCTTTGTAGCCATAGTCCCAAGTGGCATGGGCTTGTGCCTCTTGGTGCTCAGCGCCTGACATGCTCTGGGTGCCTTGTTCCCTTATAGGCAGGATTTAAGTGTCTGCTTCCAGAAAGCCAGTGCAGGCAGAGGACCAATAGCCTGGGGCTGTTTCACCCAGGAGCCCAGTCCAGGGACCCCTGTGACTCACAATGTTACATGCCCCTGCTGAACGGTGGCAGAAAGAGAACAGAACTCAGGACTCAGCAGGCTGCGGCAGTGTCCCAGGAGGGCTCAGGGTGCCAGAGCCCAGTGGCCAGGGCCATTGGGAGAGCTTAGAATGCAGCATCCTGATGATTTTGTTTCCTTTAGGTGATCATGGGTGGCGGCCGCAAGTACATGTATCCCAAAAATAGAACTGACGTGGAGTATGAGATGGACGAGAAGGCCAGGGGCACGAGGCTGGATGGCCTGGAACTCGTTAACATCTGGAAGACCTTCAAACCCAGGCACAAGGTAGCAAGTTCAAAGGCAGAGGCAGCGTGAGCAGCAATGGGGCCCCATGACCTTCTCTAGGCCTCATGTTCCCCTCTGTGGAATGGGGGGGTCCTGGTTCCTCCCAGGGTAGCCTCAGGCAGCCCAAAAGAGATGAGGATGCCTCTTAATAGGGGATCCCTTGGTTCCTTCCTGCCCAAGCTGGAGCTGCCCAGCCTCCCTGCCTCAGGATCTTATCATGGAACCAGAGGTGGAGTTTGGCCCTTTTCTTCCTAGGCGGGGGGGTGATTAGGCTGGAGCTCAGTCTAGACCCCCAAGGTGGGCAGACAGGGGGCCCAGGCCATGGCCCAGTGCAGGCTGGATCAGGTAGGGACTTTGGACCTGCATTAGTCATGCCCTAGAAAACAGCACCCAGAGAGTGGGTTCGGCAGTCCATTCCCTCTTTGCCACTTCATGGGGCTGATGCAAAGAGCCAGTGGGAACACAGGAAAGCAGGTGTGGGGGCTGGACCCCCACATTGCAGCCCCAGGCAGCCTCTGATGCTCCCAAGGTAGGTTTTTGGCAGTGCCTGGATCCCTGGTCCTGCCTGGCTGGGATGGCACTGTGTGACTGCCACATATGGGGAAGCAGCTCCACCTTTATCCTCCTCCTGGATGGGGCCTCACAACACCCTGGTTCCCCATGGCCCCAGACCCCCGGCTCACACCTTGCAGCAGGCACTCAGGGTCCCTGGTGACCTACCCCTGCTCTTTGCCCCAGGGTCCACTTGCCTGGCATTCCTGACCTTGGGCAGATCAAGCCCTGCCACGCTGGGCCTCATAACTGCCCTCAGGTTTGTCATTTCTGGAATAAAGCCGTGTCAGAGGGAGCATCTTAAGCAGTCAAAGGAAATGGTCATGTGCTCCAGATGGCGCCAGCCAGGGTAGTCCTCCGGGGTCCCCAGCCCTACAGCTGCTGACACAGCCCCTTCCTCCTAGCACTCCCACTACGTCTGGAATCGCACCGAACTCCTGGCCCTTGACCCCTATTCCGTGGACTACCTCTTGGGTAAGTGAAGGGGGTGGAGCACCCAGTGGCCAATTAAGAGGCCTTTGCTCTCAGACTCCAAGGGCCTGGAGGGGCAACAAGGGGGGTTCTGGTTCATGGGCTGCAGCCAGTGCAGAGGCATCAGCCTCAGCGGGCGTGAGGAGAAAGCTAAAACCTGGACGCTCAGAGGGGAGAAGCCTGCAGCATGGGGCACCGCTGACTGTGGCATAGCCCGGCCAAGTCTTACCCTGCCACAGCCCCTGCACTGTGGAGTGGGGACCCAGAATGAGCTCTGCTGCATGGCCAAGGTAGGCACCTGCCAGACTGTCTCTGTGGGCCCCGATAGCTGTCGCTCCCCAGGAATGTGGAGTCTGCAGGTCCCTGCTTGGTAGATTGGGGCCCTAAGCACCACTGTGTGAATGGCCAAGGTCCCTTTCCCACCTGTCACTGTGGGAAGCAGAATCTTTGGCACACATGCATTTTCCAAGGGGCACAGCTCTGGGTCCTGGCAGGGTCACTGGAGATGATGGGTTCAGGGCTGGGCACCAGGGGATCCTCCAGAAAAACACACACACATCTCTCTGCCTGCCTGGGTCACCTGGTACCACCTGAGGGTTGTGCAGTGCTTTGCAGGTGCCCACACAGCCTAAGTGCCACTCTTGGGTCAGAGCCCAAGTGTAGGATTTGATCTAGCTCTGCCATCCTACGCTGTGTAACCTCAGACAAGTGACTCCTCCCTCAGGGCCTCAGCTTTTTCCTCCGTCAAATGATGGTGATGACAGAGTCCACAGGGGTTGTCATCAGCAGTTGGTGACACACTGGAGAACGTGTCGACTGCTTTCCAACAAAACATCCTGAAACAGCTTAAACTAGAGGAAACCCTGATAGCGTCTAGGAGTTCCTCGGAGTTGGGACTTGGCTGGGTCTTCTGAGGTTGCAGACACCCCAGGGCTGCCTGGGGCTGCAGGGCATTCTTGGTTGTTGGCTGGAGCCCCACCCCCATACAAGGGCTCCCCTTGCCAGTCTGGGCATCTCTTCCGGGAGGTGGGGTTATTGGTGGCATCTTGGAGGCTATCACCTACATGCATCCGGAGCACCTAGGATTGCATGTGGTTCTGACTGAGAGGCACTCCCCGCATGCTGGCCAGGGAGGGGAGGTGTTCTGGAGAGTCACCTAAAATCACTGAGCCAAGGGAGCATGGGACAGGGTGGGGAACACGCCACAAGGGAGAGGCAGCGGTTGCAGGAGAGAGCGACAAGGTCCCCAGCCTCCTGGTTGACGGCACAGCCCACTGTGCCCACTGAATCCAGGCGACAGTGCCATGTGCTATGCCCTCCCACACTGCAGTCACACTCATGGACTTGATTTCCAGCTGAACATGGCAAGATATCAAACCCTTCTGACCCTTGATCTCCTTGTCTGAAAAATGGATGTAGTTACCCCCCTCATCGTGGTGCTGGTGGGGAAGGTGGAAGGAATTATGGGCACAGCTGTGGCTCCCAAAGCCACCCACATGCACTCCACCCCAGGTTGTATGTAGCAGGCCTGTTTCCCAAGACACTCCATGTTCCTTGGGGCTCTCAGCACGCCACCCCCTCCCCACCCCGGTGCTGTCCCTAGGTCTCTTTGAACCGGGCGACATGCAGTACGAGCTGAACAGAAACAACATCACTGACCCGTCGCTCTCCGAGATGGTGGAGGTAGCCATCAAGATCCTGAAGAAGAACCCCAGGGGCTTCTTCCTTCTGGTGGAAGGTAGGGCCTCCGACCCAGGAAGGAGGTTCTGAAATAGCCCTGGGAGAGAATTTCCCTGGGAGAGGATGGGCTTGGGGTGGAGGTGGGGGATTGGAAGCAAGTCAGAAGTGCTGGCCCAGGAAGGCTTGCAGGTCCCTGCCTGCCCTGCCTGTCCGTTCTGCCGGGCCTTCCCTGGCGCTGTCCAGAGGTCTGGAGTCCAGGGTCAGTGCTTGTCTCGGTGGCGCCCTCTGCTGGCTGTGTGACCTGTACCTGTACACTTCTGTAACCCAGAGCCAAAAACTGTCCCCTCCCCTAGGAGGGCATCACCTTGAGTTCAGAGACATGAAGTACTTGAACCAGGGCTCAACAAAGAATACATCCTCCATGTTTCTCTTCTGGTTATTCTTATGTTACACAATGGCCCAGGCGGTAACAATAGCAAGGGTGAGGAAGTGATAAAGATCCTGGAATCCTACAGAGTTGCAACAGCCAGGCCCCCAAGATGCCTTGCGCTGCCCTGCCGATCCGTCCTTGTGTCCCCACACACACACACACACACACTCTGGCTGCACACACTTACGCATTCAGGCCCCCCCACTGTCCAGGGCCAGCGGCAGCCAGCCGGCTTTGGCTGCTTCCTTGCCAAACCCCGGGGTTCCCACTGAAGCTCCGCGGTCTCGGCTGAGCCCCAAACAGGCCTGTGCTGCCGAGGAACCAGCCAGGAACCCGTGGTGGTTAGCGTGGGCTCCCCTGGGAGCTGTCCTCGTTGTGAACAAGGCCAGGCCGGGCCCACCAAGCCAGCTGCTCCCTCAGCCACAACAAAGGGAGGCCCTGCCTGGCTAGCCTGCCAGGCCAGCAGCCAGGCACAGGCTGGTGGGAAGAAGCAGCCTGGCGCCCGAGCTCGAGACCCCCAGAGCTGGGTGTGTCCACCCCCAGCAGCGTTCCCTCAGGTCACGCTGCCCTGGACCACTCGGCCAAGCTCAAAGCCAGGTCCCTGCCCTCACCAGGGGGAGGTGGCATGGCCTGTGGCTTCCCCAGGCTCTCCAAGAAGCCTGCCAAGCCAGCCCGGGCACCAGGACTCATAGCTGCTTTAGGCTTCCAAGGACTCATGCCAGAGGACAGGGACAACCAGGGGGCTTCCAGTTGAATCCATACCTAGATTCAACTCCACTGCATATGTGTGGCCTTTGCCCTGGCCACACCCTACTCCTCTTTGGCCTCTGTAGCTATAAGGGGTGGCACGTGTGCAACTGGCCCAGAGCAGCTCCCAGCAGTGGGTGCTGTCCTTCTGTGTCACCAAGAGAGAATAATGCAGGGGAAGACCATGGGGCTGGGCGGCACGTCTCCCATTGACCAAGGTCTTGGTGTCCCAAGGCGGCAGGATTGACCACGGGCACCACGAGGGCAAGGCCAAGCAGGCACTTCATGAAGCCGTGGAGATGGACCGGGCCATCGGGAAGGCTGGCACCATGACCTCGCTGGACGACACTCTGACCGTTGTCACCGCTGACCACTCCCACGTCTTCACCTTTGGGGGATACACACCCCGTGGCAACTCTATCTTTGGTAGGCAGGCCTCCTTTGACCTGGCACTAGGCATACCCCAGGTCTTCTGTCTACCTGTGTGGGAGCAAGAGTCGGGTGGGGACTCGGTAATAACTGAGGAAGGAGGAAACGGTTGGTAATGGGAGGGCAGGAGAACCTAGAGCGAGGGGAGGGAGTAAGCTGGGGCAGGTGGCTAAGTGGGCAGCTAGCTTCACGGACAGTGGGTAAGGACAGAGCAGACAGATGGCCTGGGAGGTGGGAAGGAGGGACTCTCAGTGGAATACAGGACTAGCTGGATAGAAACAGCAGGGTTACTGTGACAGAATGACGAGGCTGACACTAGGGCTCCAGTGTGACCCAGGACTGCCCCTCCCTGTGCAGGCCTGGCCCCCATGGTGAGCGACACAGACAAGAAGCCCTTCACAGCCATCCTGTACGGAAACGGACCAGGCTACAAGGTGGTGGGCGGGGAGCGAGAGAACGTCTCTATGGTTGACTACGGTGAGTCGCCCGGAACCAGGACTGGGACAGGATGCCCCCAGGGAGGAGGGGACAGAGCTTGACCTGGTCCAGGGCAGCGGCTGGGAACAGCCAGGACAGAAATCAGAATATTCTATCACAAGGTGATTCTCACGGTCGGGCAGCTCTGTTTTGGGGTGCCTAATGCCAGCCTTCTCACCTTCAGTTCCCCCGCATACAGCTTTGCATGCAGCTTCTTGGGGAGCTACATTATCATCATGACTGTCTCAATAGTGATGTATCATTCCAAAGTCAGGCTTCCCACCCACTTGGTCCAGGTCCATGTTGTATGTACCTTTGTGTTGGATGATTCCACAGTTGTGCCTCTGGCCAGAGGCTGCCCCTGTCAGTAGTTTCCAAGTCAGACAGACCCGTGACATTTTTCCTGTTAGGGATTGAGAGTGTGGGCTGCTGGGTCAGAGTATACTCGTTTTGAATCCTGTGATCCAGAGGGGAGCCTTCCCTGCCCTGACCCTTAGCTTCTTCAGGCCAGCCTAGGGGCACCATGCCAGCCCCTCGCAGGCTCTCAGAAAGCCTGTTCTTCCCATCCCCAGCTCACAACAACTACCAGGCCCAGTCTGCCGTGCCCCTGCGCCACGAGACCCACGGCGGGGAGGACGTGGCTGTGTTTGCCAAGGGTCCCATGGCACACCTGCTGCACGGCGTACACGAGCAGAACTACATCCCCCACGTGATGGCGTACGCGGCCTGCATCGGCGCCAACCTGGACCACTGTGCCTGGGCCAGCTCTGCGGGCAGCCTCGTCCCAGGTGTCCTGCTTGTCCCGCTGACCCTCCTCCTCTTGAGCAGCCTGTTCTGAGGGCCCACAGCCCTGGGCACCCACGAGCCCAAGACAGAAGCAGCCTCCTTCTCCGGTGCTGTCCACTGCCCAGCAGCCCACACCTCAAGGGGCAGGGAGGCCTAGGCCTCTACTGCCTCTGCGACTGCCAGAAAGGGGACCCAGGAACCAAAGTCTGCCGCCTGCCTCACCCCCTTTTCTGGGGTCCTCAAGGGGCCACGCCTGGCCTCCACTCTGCCTGCTCCCCTCTCCTCTGCCCTTTGGGCAGAGAGCACAAACAGCAGAGGCGTCTTATTTTTCTAGCAAACACACTTCTTCTGGCCCAGAAGCCCTGGAGCCTCCATGGAACGTTCTGGATCCGACTTCGCATTCCCCTCTCCATTCCCCTGGAGCCCCCTGGGCCCGGTCATGCCCATGGCCCCGTGCCCAAGCCCTGCCCCCCTGCAGGGGTGCACCCAGGGCTCCGCCAAGGCTACCCAGCGCTCCCAGGAAGCCACCTCCCAGGGCTGGCACCTACCCCGGGACGGCCGGGCTGGAAAGACCCACCCGGCGGGGCACCCGCGCCCAGCCACAAACACAAGGGCCAGCTCCTCTCTGAAGCGACTCTCCTGTTTGGAATGGCAAAGAAAAAAAAAATTTTTTTTCTCTTTGGTGCTGGTTCAAAGGGAACAACAAAACATTTAAATAAAACTTTCCAAATATTTCTGAGGACAGAGCTGTGTCTTTGTGGTCAGTGAGGGAGAGGCTGAACTGGGCCCATGTCTCTGGGAAGAAGTGGACTCCAGGCCTGGGAGATGGGGGTTGGGGGGAGCCGGGGGAGCAGAGACAGCATCCACCACTCCCTACCTGGGTGACGCTGGACAAAGTTGTCCTGTGTGTCCGGCTCTACGTCTTATGGAATGGTAGACAGACCACCCCCACTGCATGGCCCCCGTCAGCCACACCATAGACTCTGACCCCTTGCAGCTGCTCATTCAGCTCAGCTGGCACCGTGTGGGGTCCCAGGACTTGGTGATGAGCCAGTCGGCCACGGCGCACCCTTACAGAGCTTCTGCCTCACCCAGCAAGCATGACCTTCCATCCGGGTGCTCATCCATGAGACTGCCCTAAATAAGTCCATGCCTCCTGCCTTACTGGCACGAAAGTCCCTGTTGTGACAAAGGTGACGGTGACCCCGGCGTGTGTAGCACCCTCGTTCACATGGATGGGGACAAGGGTGTGGGAGGGTTGCCGCAGGTCCCCCAAGGTGTGGAGCTAGGATTGGAAACCAGATCTGTCTGATTCCAAGGCTCCTACACTTAATGACAGCCTTGCTATGTTTACCATCCATGACCAAACCAAGCCCGCCAGGTCCCGCGGCAGCCCAAACAAGCCACTTTATAACACATGCCGGTTAAATTTGAACTCGGAGGGCGAGCGTCAGAAGGATTGAAAACGCAACCTGAGCAGATTTCTCTCTCAGCTTCCTGGCAGTCCTGGCAACCAGGCAAGCACAGCCAAGCTGAAGCTGCGACAGGAAAACAAGGAAGCTCCATCTTGGAACTGCGCAGGGCAACGTCCTTGGTCTCATCCCCAGTAAAGGTAACATAGTAAGAACTGGTTTCTGTCGCAGACGTCAGAGGGCGTCCCCCGCCAGCAGGCCCGTGGGACCCACGCCTTCCCCACCTGGTGCCTTTGCCGCCTCCTTTAAGTCCCGGACGCATTTCCCGTCACTTGATGGGGAAACTGCACACCTGCCTCCCAACCCCGCCTTCCCGGAAGTGGCGCGCAGCACTTCCGCACTTTCGCCCGTCGTCCCTGGCTGAGACCCCGATTCTGAACCCGCCCCGCTGCAAAGGAGACCGGGAAATGTAGTTTCTGGGCGGCTGTTCCCCACGCGGGTGGCAGGGCAGGGGCTCACCTTCAGAGCGCGCACCCCTACGTGGGGCCCTGTCCTGTCAGCTTCCTTCTCATCCTTGGATTTATGGGCACCACGATCACTGCCCGCGCACTCGAGCCGCCCCTTTCTGTCGTGAGAAAGGGGTGCAGGCAGCTGGGGGATGGCCCAACTCACACTTCCGAGACCTCGTTTGAAAAGCAGAGAGACGGAGATCAACTGGATCACTCCCTGAATGCACGCACCAGCAGAGCTGGGCTGAGCTGAAGGCAGTGGGAACTCCACTTGGGTCTCCCGCAGAGGGAGCAGGGACCCAAGGCCTGAAGTCATGTAGTGCTGGAGGGCAGGCAGAGTCTGCACACAAACCAGGCATTGTGATCATGCTGTGTCCTTAGCCGCTATGCCCAAAGCCCACCCCCTTGCCACATCTCAGGAAACGAGGAGATTTCACGTAAGATCTGGATTTCAGACTTTCAAAAATAATTTCTTTGAAAGAGCAACAGAGAAAGTTGAAAACAGAGAGGTGTTCTATCCACCGTCCTCCCTGCTCCGGCTCAGGGCCAGGCTGCAGCCAGAAGTAGTAACTCCATCTGGAGCTCCCACTAGAGTGGCAGGAGGCCAGGTACCTGGACTTTCTTCCCAGGCACATTAGCAGAGACCTGGATCAAAGGAGAACAGCCGGTGGCTTAACCTGTAGTGCTACAGTGCTAGTTCCACCGCACGGCTTTTTTGGGAAAGTTGGAAGCCCTGCCTAGCAGTGCAGCCCTATTTCTGCAGGGTCAACTGGAGTGACAGAGTGGGCAGAGCTCTCCTACTTGGCACAGCCCCAAGGCTTCCCTGTGTTCTGACCCTGAGACCCTGCAGATGTGACTGGCTGGGATGGAGACACAGCTTACAACTCCTGCCACAGCCAGTGCCAAACCCAGGAGAGAGGAGTTAGTGGGCCAGAGGCTCTGTCCTCAGCCCCTCTGTGCGGGGGCAGGGAGGGGCACCCAGCATTGGGCATGAAGGCTGAGAAGGCAGTGGGGAAGCTGAGGCTTGGCAAGGACAGTAGGCCTTTGGGTCAGCTGATGTGAGGGGCTTCAGAAGGAAGCACCGAGCAGAGAGATGAGCTTGGAGAGGTTCCAAGAAGCTGGAGGTAGACCTTGAAGATGGTCAGAGCTAAGGAATGTTCTAGACTGAGAGACAGGGAGGGATCTTCCATCTGTTGGTTCACTCCCCACATAGCTGCAATGGCCAGGGTTGGGTCATGCTGAAGCCTGAAGCCAAGAGCTTCGGCCTGGTCTCCCATATAGCAGGAAAACAAACATTTGAGTCGTCCTTCGCTGCTTTCCCAGGCCATCAACAGGGAGCTAGATTGGAAATAGAACAGTTGGAAATTGAACTGATGTTCATATGAGATGCCAGCATTGCAGATGGTGGCTTGACTTGCTATGCCACAATCCTGGCCCCTGAGCATTCTTAAAAAAAAAAAAAAGATTTATTTATTTTTATTGCAAAGTCAGATATACAGAGAGGAAGAGAGACAGAGAGGAAGATCTTCCATCCAATGATTCATTCCCCAAGTGACCACAACGGCCAGTGCTGCACTGATTTGAAGCCAGGGGCCAGAAATTTCCTCCAGGTCTTGTATGCGAGTGCAGGGTCCCAAGGCTTTGGGCCGTCCTCGACTGCTTTCCCAGGCCTCAAGCAGGGAGCTGGATGGGAAGTGGAGCTGCCGGGATTAGAACCGCCGCCCATATGGGATCTGGGTGCATGCAAGGCAAGGACTTCAGCTGCTAGGCCACCGCGCTGGGCCCACCCCCTGAGCATTCTTTCTGAAAGGTCATCCCAGAAGCCAGTTTTGAGGCTGGAGACCAGCAAGGAGTCTCCTAAACCAGGCAGGAGGTGCTAGGACTGCTCAGGGTGGGGAAAGACAACCTCCAAACACACATTAGGAGTCCTGGCTCTTGTCAGTTAAGAAGCAGACTGGGGCAACAGGTGACTGGATGACTCAGTAACAGCAGCTGAATACTCCGAGAGTGAGAGCAGAAGCTGTCGAGACCAAAGCAACCAGACACCACAAGGCACCCCATACGTAGCATTTTCACATCCCTGCCAGTATCACTCCCCATTTTACAGATGGGAAAGTTGAGGCTCAGCAGAGCATAGCGATCTGCTCTGCTACATGACCTATGTAGGTGACAACTTGAACCCAACTCTGCCTGGCCCCCAGTCTGTGTTTCATTCCTTGTTGCTGCCAATCTCTCTCCAAGCAGAAAAGCCCCACCCCATCCGCCCTACTGTGGGTTCCCACAGCCCCCTGCCCCCAGAAGCCCAGCCAGACACCCGCATTTGTAATTAGGTCTACCACTGAAGACCTCCCACCACGATCTAGCCAGGGCCGCCTGGGAGGGGCGCGGATTAAGTTCTCAGAAGAGGATTTGGGCTTCTCTGGGCCTCCTGGTGATCCCGGCGCCAAGGCCCCTTCTGGCTGCTCTGCAGGCCATGTGAACCTCAGACTGGGATGGACACGTGGGTCCCACCAACCTTGTGGGACAGGCAGGACTGGGGACCCCGGCACAGGGCCATCTCCTGCCGCTAGAACACAAGGTCCCTGGAGCCCAGGCTGGTCCCTACGTGCCTGCCTGCACACATCCACATCTCTCCTCCCAACCACCCTCGAAGGCCAGGCACGGTCATTAGCTCCGGTGCATAGACGAGGAAACAGAAGCAGAGAAGTGAGCTAAGCGACCAGAAGCTACACCGCGGCTGAGAGACCGAGCCAGGACCTGAAGCAGCCGCCTAGCTCTGGAGGCCAGGCTTTGTTCACACAGTGGAGGCCTCCGGCGGTGGTGAGCAGAGCCAGCCTCATGCCTGATTGTCCCTTCCCCGCAGAACCTCAGTGTCCAGTCAGTGTCACATAGTGTCTGTGGATGGGTCACCTACACCCCCTTCATACATCCTGGTCAGTGCCATTTGCTGCAGCCACTGCCTGTGAACTTCTGAACCTTGAAGCCACAGGTCCCACATGCCCTGGGAGGTGGCACGCAGGCAGGCAGGGCGGAGACAGGAGCTGAAAGGAGGAATCGGGAAAGTTGGTCTGCAGCAGAAGTCGCAGGTGGCATTGGTCAACAATGCCAGTTAGGTGGCAGGTCAGGTTGGAGCTCAGGAGCTGGTGGCCTTGTCCTCTTGCCTGGAAACTAAGAGGGGCAACTGTAGCCCTTGTCCTGGTTGGGGGAGTAAGGGTGGTGGCCCTGGCTGGGGGACAACGGAAATGGCAGTGATGAGGTCAAGAACGAGGGCAACCAGCCAAGGTAGGGCAAGGGAAGGACTGGAGGGCTTGAGATGGGGTTGAACACTTCGCCACCCAGACCATGGACAAAAGCCCAAGTCGCTGAGAGCAGGTGCGATCCTGACACCTGCCCTCACAGTGAGCTTCACTGCCTAATGGGCCCTAAGCCCTCTGCTCTTGAAGGAATCTCCTGGGACCCCCAGTGAAGCTCAGGGTCCCAGTGAGCTGCTGCAGTTTTTGGAGGATGGCAACCCAGAGAGGGTAGGTGCCAAGTTGGAGTCACACAGCGAAATGGGCGGAAGAGCTTAGCTGTCTCCCCCTGGTACAGGGTTCTCATGGCCAGTCAAGGTAAGCCGCGTCTGGAATTGTGGGTGGCAGCAAGGAGGGAGAGCTTGTAGGTTCTGAGTGCCACCTGGCATTCAGCCCTACCTCATGCCAGCCATGCCATCTCACCCTTGCAGTGTTGCAGGTAGGGCACTGAGGCTGGCCTCATTTTACAGCTGAAAAAGAAGAACCAGGTCCTAGAGAGTGGCTGGGGCCATTGCCACTGCTGGGCATCAGGGAAGGCCTATGGAGTAGGTGAGTTAGTAAGATGGCAGCTTTGTGAAGAGTTGGAGG